TCCCTCTCTCTTTTTACCCCCTCCCTCCCCTCTTCTTACCCCCTCCCCTGTAGCTTGGCCGAGCTGCACCCGGTCCGCAGTGGCCGGCCGGAGTGATAGGAAGGGGCACACTGAGTGTGCACTTCCTGTCAGTCCGGCCGGTTACAGGAAACAGAAACTCAGCGCGGAACATGAGTTTCTGTTTCCTGTAACCGGCCGGACTGACAGGAAGTGCACACTCAGTGTGCCCCTTCCTATCACTCCGGCCGGCCGGCCACCGCGGACCGGAGTGCAGCTCGGCCACGCTACAGGGGAGGGGAAGGGGAGAAGCTGCAGCCGCCTGACCGCTCTTAACAGAGCGCTTGGGCGGCTGCAGCATTTAAAGGGCCGGCCCAGGAACGCGGCCGGCCCCCAGGTGCCGCGGCCCACCGGGAAATTTCCCGGTATCCCGGTGGGCCAGTCCGGCCCTGTTTTCATAGATACTACAGACCATGATTGCTTTCCCATTTAGTGTTTTCTCTTGGGAGGTGTTACTCTTATTGATTGAAATCCCTACTCAAATATCTATTTCACCATTTTTGGGGTGTTTGGAGAGCACACTATTTAGTAGGTTTTTCTATAATTTGCTTTTAGTGGCTATACGTTTGCATGTTTCTTCAGATGATAATGCTCTAATGTCTGACATTCTTCTCGCAGAGACTAATGACAATAACAAAAGAGTCGTCTGAGAGAGAATAGGCATAGGAATTTCTTCAATAGGCTCGAAGGGAGGATTCCTCATAGCCTGAAGGACCAGAGGTAAATTCCATGGAGCCAATAATTTCCTTATGGGAAGTCTAATTCTAATCTTGGCTTTGCAAAAGCAAGCAACTACATGATGTATGGCCCATCTAATTCCAGAAAATGTTCTGAAATGGCAGAACATTGTACCTTAAGGGTGTTGCGTTTAAGACCCCGTTCTAGGTCTGCTTGTAAGAAGCCAAGAACTTGAGATATGGAAGGAGTACTCAAATCCTGGACACTAGATTTTGTCTATAATGCAAAAACTTCCCAAATCTTGTGGTAAGTTATGGAAGTAGATGTTTTTCTAAAACCATCTGACAAAGGTGGCAACACCGTCCTTCTTAATTAAAATATGTATATATCCACGTGTATGGATCATCTCCTGTTATGAGCAACTTTCAAAAGACCCTGCCATGGTTTATATGGAAGAACTGAAACAGATTCTGAACAAGGCTTTAGAAAGTAACAATTACCAATGAGGAATTTAAATATATTTTACCTAACCACAACCCAATGATTGCGACCTTCTACTGTCTCCCTAAGGTGCACAAAATAAACAAAATCCACCGGGGAGCCCCATCGTACCTGGAAATAGTTAACTTACTGAAAAGGCAAGCAGATTCATCGAAAAACGATTACATCCATATGTAACAAAATTAGCATCCTATGTTCAGGACACAAAGCAGGCATTACTAATTCTGGAAGATCTGGTGGTTCCACCCTACACTCTACTGGCAAGCTTGGACATGGTGTCCCTCTATAACAATATTCCCCATGAGGTGGGTCTCAAAGCAACAGAATACTTTCTAAACAGACAGGACAAGCTCGTACCTTGTCAAAAAGAATTTATTCTGAGACCACTTTGTTTTGTACTAACACACAACTATTTTGTGTACAATGGAGTATATTATCTTCAAATCAGGGGGACGGCCATGGGCACTGCATGCGCTCCAAGCTATGCCAACTTATAGCTAGGGTGGTGGGATGACATGGGGCTCAAACGTACTTACGTTATTGACAACAAAGAGTTAGAATTTCTGGACCTAAAAATTTCCTTGGGATTAGACGGCTCAGTAGAAACAGAATTGTTTAGAAAGACTACTGCAACCAACAACTTGCTCCACTGGCACAGCCACCATCCACATAATATAAAAGCAGGAATCCCGTGTGGGCAATACCTTTGAGCTAGAAGAAACTGCTGCAACGATGAATCGTTCCTTAAGGAAGCAAGAGAATTGAAAATACGCTTCAAGGCCCAGGGATACCCTAATAAAGTACTGAAAAGAGCATTTTAAAGGGTGGTCTCCATGGAAAGAACTGCATGTTTGAGAACCAGCCGGCCAAAACAAGAGAAACTACAAATACGATGCATCGGCACATTTGATCAACTGTGGGATCCAATAAAACAGATCTACTGCAATCATTGGCCAATCCTCACACACAATACGGATCTAGCTAATCATTTGTCGCCTTTTCCCAATATCACTACACGCAGACTGAAGAATTTACAAGACATGCCGGTACATAGCCATATGGAACCAGGGCCGGACTGGGGATACAAAGCAGCCCTGGAATAAAAATTGATGCCAGCCCCATAAGTCACTGCGCCATGTATTGTCACATGTAATATGTATGGCTATGTGTTGCCACCCCAGATGATTGATTAATATACACACATATATTTATATATATATATATATATATATATATATATATATATATATATTACTCAATCATCTGGGGTGGCAAGACATATCTCTCTAATATGGCGGCTAGGAGGACTGTGAGTGGGTAGGGGGTTGTAAGGTGGGTAGGGGTTCTGTAAGGTAGATGGGGGACTGTGAGGTGGATGGGGGGACTGTGAGGTGGGTAGGTGTTCTGTAAGCTTTGTAGGGGGACTGTGAGTGGGTATGGGGACTGTATAGTGGGTAGAGGGACTTTATAGTGAATAGGGGGATTGTGAGTTGGGTAGGGGGCTATATAGTGGGTAGGGGGACTGTGAGGTGGGTAGGGGTCTGTATAGTGGGTAAGGGGACTGTGAGGTGGGTAGGGGGCTGTATAGTGGGTAGGGGGCTGCATAGTGAGTGAGGGGGCTGTGGAGGTGGGTAGGGTTGCTGTATAGTGAGTAGGGCTGTGAGGTGGGGTAGGGCTGCATAGTGAGTAGGGGCTGCATAGTGGGTAAGGGGACTGTGGGTAGGGGGCTGTATAGTGAGATGGGGCTGTATAGGGTATGGGGGCTGTATAGTGAGTAGGGGGGTTGCAGAAGTGGGTAGGGGCTGTATAGTGGGCTGTATAGTGAGTAGGGGCTGTATAGTGAGTAGGGAGATGTATAGTGGGTAGGAGGTTCTATAGTGGGTACGGGAGCTGTATAGTGAGTAGGGGGCTGTATAGTGGGTAGGGGGACTGTCTGTGAGGTGGGGGTCTGAATGGTGGGTAGGGGGCTGTAATAAGGTAAATACCTTTTAGTTTCCTCTTGGTCTGGTGGGCAGCTTTCCAGCAACGACGCGCGAGTGGGGGCTTTTAACCTAAAGGGGGGCCTATTGCCCCCCCTGGCGCCCACCCCTGAGCAGCCGGTGGGGGCCCTAAAGTAAACTAATGGGGGGAACCTATTGTCCTCCCCCCGGCCCCCACCCCTAAGCGGCGGGTGGGGGCCCTAAAGTAAAATAATAGGGGGGACCTATTGTCTCCTCCCTGGCCCCCACCCCTGAGCGGCGGGTGGGGGCCCTAAAGTAAAATAAGGGGGGACCTAATGTCCTCCCCCCTTGCCCCCACCCCTGTGCGGTGGGTGGGGGCCCTAAAAACTAATTGGGGGGGGACCTAATGTTCTCTCCCCTGGCCCCCACCCCTGAGCAGTGGGTGGGGGCCCTAAAAACTAATTAGGAGGGGACCTAATGTCCTCCCCCCTGACCCCCACCCCTGAGCGGTGGGTGGGTGCCCTAAAAACTAATTAGGGTGGGACCTAATGTCGGCCCCCACCCCTGAGTGGTGGGTGGGGGCCCTAAATACTAATTAGGGGGGGACCTAATGTCCTGGGGGCCCTAAATAAAAAAATTAACCCCCCCGGGTGACTTCCCTGCCCCCCAAAAATTACCCCCTACCTAACTCCCTCACCCTAAAAATAATGAGGGGGGACCATTTAACTAAGTACCTGGAAAAAAAAAAAACACCATTTGAATCTTCTTCTTTCAGCCCCAAAAAGGCCAAATAAAAATCCATAATAACCAACGCACCATCTTCACCCGGCGAGGGCTCCACGCAGACTGAGCTCTGCAGGGCGGGGAAAGGCTTACAAAGCCTTGCCCCGCCCTGCAATTAGGCTCAGAGCACTCTAATTGGTGGGTTTAAGCCATCCAATCAGAGTGTTCTGACAGGTAAATGAAGACACTGACAGGTAAGTCTCTACATTTACCTGTCACAGCACTCTGATTGGTTGTTTGAAATCCACCAATCAGATTGCTCTGTGTCATTTTACACAGCGTGGGAAAGTTCTTTGGAATTTCCCCACACTGTGTAATTTGACTCATAACTCTGTGATTGGTGGATTAAGTAACCAGAGTGTTATGAGTCAAATTCTACAGCGTGGGAAAATTACAAAGAACTTTCCCACGCTGTGTAAAATGACACAGAGCACTCTGATTGGTGGATTTCAAGCCAACCAATCAGAGTGCTGTGACAGGTAAATGTAGAGACTTATCTGTCAGTCTCTTCATTTACCTGTCAGAGCACTCTGATTGGATGGCTTAAACCCACCAATCAGCCTAATTGCAGGGCGGGGCAAGAGCTCAGTCTGCGCGGAGCTCTCGCCGGGTGAAGATGGATTTTTTTTTTTTTTTTTAGTGCATCGGTTATTATGGCTTTTTATTTGGCCTTTTTTGGGGCTGAAAAAATAAGATTTTAGAAGAAATAAAACAAAAGTTTTATTTTATTTTTTTCAGGTACTTAGTTAAATAGTCCCCCCTCATTATTTTTAGGATGAGGGGGGTAGGTAGGGGTTAATTTTTTTGGGTAGGGGGGTGACTAGGGGTTTGGGGACCCCTAGTCACCCGGGGGAGTGGGGGAGTTATTTTTTTTATTTAGGGCCCCCACCCGCCGCTCAGGGGTGGGGGCCAGGAGGAGGACATTAGGTCCCGCCCTAATTAGTAGTTAGGGCCCCCACCCATCGCTCAGGGGTGGGGGCCGGGGGGAGGACAATAGGTTCCCCCCATTAGTTTACTTTAGGGCCACCACCGGCTGCTCAGGGGTGGGCGCCAGGGGGGGCAATAGGCCCCCCTTTAGGTTAAAAGCCCCCACTCGCGCGTCGTTGCTGGAAAGCTGCCCACCAGACCAAGAGGAAACTAATCCTGATAGTTTTCACAATATGACCATTTGTTTGCAACTCACGCCGTCCATTGAAATTCACTGAAACTCCACTCTAGCCAGCTCAAATTTGAAGAGCAATTTCTAAACTGCGACCGTGCCTTCATTCACAATATTTCAGAGACATACTATACATCAAAATGTAGGTCTGGTTCTTGTGATTCTCACAGTATAAAGCTCTTCACTGTAGGAATTATAGTTTTTAAAATATGACTGTTTGAAGATGGCAACTGCCAAAATACTCTGACCTGTGCCAGGCTGGAGCAGCAAGTGATGTCATAGACAGGGCCTTTTGTACACCTGCTAATGTTTTTATAAATGTATGTTTTAATGTAACTGTGAAGCACTTTGGGCAACAACGTTGCAATTAAATGTGCTATATAAATAATTACTCCACCCACTCCAGTTGTAGACTGCAGGTGGAGGCAAGAACACTTCACACAATTTCCCCAGAAATTGTAGCTTTTCTAGTTATTATTCTTATTATTGCCAAATTTACCACCCTAACTCCTCCCACAGTTTTTACACTACATAGACAGTAATATACCGAAACGTGCGGATTGTTCCTGATTGGATTGCTAATAAATGTGCGATATAAATAAATAAAAGTTGAAATGCATTTCTCATCAAGCTTGCCATGTGCACTTTTTAAATTTGATCAATTGGTTAGTGTAATGTTTACTATTTTTACTCACTCCACACAGTTACTCTGCCCACTCCAAAGAGTTACTCTGCCCAGTCCAACCTTTCCACAGTTACTCAAGCCACTCCATCCAGTTACTCCGCCCACTCCAGTTGTAGACTACTGGTGGAGGCAAGAACACTTCACACAATTTCCCCAGAAATTGTAGCTTTTCTATTTGGTATTTAGGGCCCCCACCCACCGCTCAGGGGTGGGGGTCAGAGGGGAGGACATTAGGTCCCCCTCCTTATTCTGATTTAGGGCCCCCACCGGCCGCTCAGGGGTGGGGGCAGGACAATAGGTACCCCCCCATTACTTTACTTTAGGGCCTCCATCCACCGCTCAGGGGTGGGGGCCGGGGGGAGGACAATAGGTCCCCCCCTTCAGGTTAGGAGGGGGAGGGTGGACGTGTTTTTTTTCTTTTACAGTGAGCAGCCACAGGCTGTTTAACAGACATACCCCTACTCGCGGTATAGCGAGTAGGGGGCATAATTTACTAATACTAAGTAACCTTTACTTCGTATTAGTAAATGTGGCTGAAAGACCAATATAGGTCTTTCAGCCTTTTAGTAGATAGCTCCCCAATACCGTGGGAATTAGGGAGTTATCTACTTATTCATTCCTGTCATTACATTGACTGGCCAAGTAACTTACATTTTATATGAATGCATGTTACTTGATTGTTGTAAGTGTTGCAAATGCTTACAGCTGAATCCTGGCTATGTTTGTATACTTTTTATTTAAAATTGTATACAGTGTAACATTCTTCTTCTTCCACTGGGTAAGTATATTAGTACTTAGGCAATACTGTGCTTCGGAACTTCAGCAATTCGGTAATTTCAGAACTTCGGTAATTCAGCACTTCGGCTATTCGGACATTCAGAAGCACCCGAATGTCCGAATTGCCCGAAATTCGATCAAATACATATTTGGCCCGAAACGAATTGCACATGTCTACATAATAGTGATGGCTCCAATCTGAAAATTCAAGCCCTTGAGTCAATCTGTCTTAACTCCAGAAAGGGCAACTTTAATTTAAAACTGTTGAAACTCAAATCTAAATGGATACATTTATTCCAGACATTAGCACCTCATGGTCTAAATGAGGAGTTCAATTTCACTCCTTTCATTCGTGACTAATTTTCAAAACTCAGCATTTCCGTACCATATTAAATAAGAACTGTACCTACAATTGAGTCTCATTGTTCAGCCCATTTTAAACTCATGGTATAGGAATATTTACTTGATGCCATATTTAAATATATATAATGTCCCAGGATTAACTATTTTGAAATTATCTTTATTCTAAGGATGGATAAGGTTGGCCATTGCACTGGCCCCCCATTAAATAACAACTATAAGAGTTGAACATCCAAAAGGTTCCCAAGTAATACTATAGAAGTTGGCACTTTTAGTAGGTTACAACTATAACCTAAATAATCAATTTTTTGTCTCCTCAGTATTAATATTTCCTGGCACCAATCATTGTATTGAAGAGGTTATATATCGCCATTTGAGCATAGATGAAATAAAACCTTAGGGGTCTTTACTGTATGCCACAGTAAGTTATCATCTTTAGCCCTAACAACTAATTTTCAATCTTTTGGGACAGTTTTTAATAACTTGAACAATGTTTCTACTAGGGATGTGCATGGGCAAAATATTCGGTTCGGCTTTCCGAAATTCGGGACTTCAGCACTTTGGATATGTTCTCTTGCAGA